TCTCCCCCCACGCCCCTTTTTGTGCTCCTATTGCTTTTGCTGTCTTCTGTGCCTTGAACTGTTGCCACTCACAATGCCACCCTACCTTGGAGCCAGCTGATTATGGACTGAAAGCTCCACAAACTGTGAGCTAAATAAACCTTCTCTTCTTTAATTTTGGGTATCGGGCATTTTGTCTCAGCAATGAGAGAAAAGTAAGACAACACTGGAGATGGATCACTGAATAAAACAGATAAATATTTCTGTGTTAGCATAGCTTATATTCTGTTGGAGTGATTATCAAGGATTTCATAAAATCTTTTGATGGGGGGCATTTGTAAAAGCATTTATTGCAAGGAAACTGATGTCAGAGATTTCTTGGCAAAGAGAATTATCCTGTAAAGGATGGATGATTTAGCCTTGAAAATGTCCAAACAGAAAAGCTGCATGACCACTTATCCACAAAGATATCAAAACTTCTCCATGCTGAAAGGGATCTCATGGGTTGGAAAGGGAGTTAACTAGGTAAACTTCTAAAATCCTATTAAACCCTGGAATTCTGTCTCACTAAGCAGCAAACAATATCATGGAGGCTAAAACAGTAATAATGTATCTTCTATGCATATATTTGTGTTTGAACATATGTGTCTACCCTGATTATGAAGTATTTATCAGCATGGATTATGTAATAATTGCCTTTGTGTCTCACATATCTGGGTAAATGAAATAATGAAGAAATGCAAGAGCAGTGGATCACTTCCTACACTATGTTGTTCAATTTGACCTTTATATTCCATTTCCAACATACTGTTTTCAAAATAACTCTCTAAAGTCTATATTTCCTTTTTGAAATTACAATCATTCAAGCTTTAAACAAAAATTCACTGACTATAAACTGCATTCCAGACCCATGTTAGGTCATGAGAATTCAAAAAATAACAAAGCCTACTCTTTAGTCTAGAAGGAGAAAGGCATACATAAGGTTGGTAAAGTATTACAGGCATTATGTGAAAAGTAAGGAGTCTCAGAAGGAAGAAGTAAAGAGCCAGTTCTATCTGGGAAGAGGGTAGCAAAACAAGAGTCTAAAAGAAAAGATAACATTTCAATTGAGCATTGGGAACTTTGGGGTGATGTAATACAAAGCTATGGCATGAAGAGGGCATAATGCAATGAAAAAAGTGGTGAAGCTCTCATTATGTTAGAGCTGCTCAGTCCAATGGTTGACACTAGCCCTATGGCACTACTGAGCACTTGAAATGTGGCTAAAGTGACAGGGGAAGTGAGTATTTAATTCTGCTTAATTTTTATTAACTTAAATTTTAAAAATCTGGAGTTACTGGGGAAACTTTTAAGTATGTTTGGAATAATACCGGGTCTGTGAATCTATTTTTCAACTGTAAATTTTTAAAATCTAAATATAGATCAAGTATTTTTGATAAAACCTGGTATCTGAATTAAGATGTACTATAATTGTAAAAGACATACCTAAGTTCAAATCTTTTTCATCATAAAAATTTTACTGATCACTTATAAAAATAGTATTTTAGATAAGGTAAATAAATATAAATATATTACCAGATTAATTTCATTTTTCTAATGTAGCTATTATAAAATTTTAAATTCTATAATCTATGTGGTTTGCACTGATTTCTATAGGACAGTATCATGTTGGACAGCTGCAATTCAGTGTAGCTCAGGAATAAGGCACAGGGCAGAGCAGGGAAAGAGAAGTTAAGAAGTGGTCAATATCAGAAGTCCTAGTTTATACTGTAATGGAGCAAAAAGAAGCCAAAGGATAGAAAGAAGAAGTAAGAGACAAGTGAGAGAACATATTAATATAAAGGCCTATTATAAACTTTTATTTCATGTAGTTAGATTATTCAGCTTCCCTAGAAGTTGAAAGAGTCCTAGCTATTTCAGATATATAGGCAGAAAAATACAGTACCCTTTTGAGAAAATATTCTGACTTTAATGTAAAGCAGAAGAACAAGCTTGACTTAATCCCAAGCTAGAAAAATTATCCCAAATCAGTTAAGTCCTGAGCAAAGGACAAAAAAAAGGTAAGACATAATAAATTAGAAAAAGATAAAGACATCATTTTATAGTAATGCCTGCATACCAATATTTATAGCAGCACAATTCATAACAGTTAAATCTTAAAAGCAGTCTATTTGTCCATCAACAGATGAATGGATAAAGAAAATGTGGTATACATAATGGAATACTTCTCAACTATGAAGATAAATTCGAGACCTTTGTAGGAAAATAGATATGCCCAGAAAACATAATGTTAAGTGAAATAAATCAGATACATAAGCTTAAACACCTTATAGTTTTCTCACTTGAGTTATCTATAGTACAAATACAAAGCAAAATAAAAGACTGAAAAAAGGAAATGGAGATCTTTTGCAAATAGGGGCTGGGTGAGGGGGAAAGGGAAGGTGATGTAAAAAGATTTAAGATGTGTCAAGTATATAAACCAACTACTCACAATGAATGTAATCTTTGTATGTCACGAAAATGAACTAAAAAAAACCCCAACAACAATAATATTGAAAATAGGGAAAGGAGAGACTGAGGGAGGGAGGAATGTGTGGAGAGGAAGGAGATAAAAAGTACTCCCAAAGGAATGCAAATATCCTGTAAACACATACCACAAACACAAAATAAAATAATCCAGAAAACTATGCTTGAATGCAAAGAGATTTTCTCCCTAAAGATTTCTGATAGGTGCTTAGTATTCATGAAACTCAAATTTGATTTAGAATGTAAGTCCTAAAATTTTTGTTTCTAATAAATTCAATTAGTACTATTAAAAAGTCACTGTAAAAATGGTAAGAGTGAGTAACTTCCAGAAAGTTATAAATTTTAGTGACACTAAAGTAAGATGATATAAAATATCTAGCATGCTAACACAGAGAACAAATGCATTAAATAATGGGATTTTCTTATTTTCCTTCATTAAAAACCTCTAATGTGGCTAAAATATTAGAGAAATATTTGTAGGTATTTAAAAAGTAAAATTTTACTTTCACTCTAAAATCAGGAACAAGACAAGGACGTCCACTATTACCACTCCTATTCAATATAGTTCTGGAAACATTAGCCAGTGCAATTAGACAAGAGAGAGAAATAAAAGAAATAACAATAGGAAAGGAAGAAGTTAAATTATCATTATTCACAGATGCCACAATACTCTACATAGAAGACCCCAAAAACTCCACCAAAAGACTTCTAGATTTAATAAGCAAATTTAGTAGCATAGCTGGATACAAAGTCAGTACTCAAAAATCAACAGCATTCCTGTACACAAATAAAAAACTCACTGAGAGAGAAATTAGTGAAATGATACCCTTCACAATAGCATTCCCCCCCAAAAAAGAAATACTTAGGAATCAATCCAACAAAAGAAATAAAAGATCTATACATTGAAAATTACTGTGCTCTGAAAAAGGAGATTGAAGAGGCTATCAGAAAATGGAAAGATAACCATTGCTCATGGACAAGAAAAACCAACATTGTGAAAATGGCCATACTCAAACTGCACAGAAGTACTTCAGAGAACCAACAATTGAGATCTCATCCTATTTAAAAGTTTTTGCATATCAAAAGAAATCACAACAGAGTGAAAAGAAAACCCATAGAGTGGGAAAAAATTATAACCAACTGTCCCTCAGACAGAGGACTTCTACCTAAAACATATAAAGAACTGAAAAAAATCAGGTCCCCCACATTCAAATACCCAATCCAAAAATGGGCATCTGAGATGAATATGTACTTCTCAGATGAAGAAATACAAAAGGCAAATAAATATATGAAAAAATGTTCAGTATCATTGGTCATTTGGTAAATGCAAATTAGAACAACTGTGAGATTCCTTCTCACCCCAGAAAGAATGGCTATCAAGACATCAACCAATAACAAATGCTGGTGGGGTTGTGGGGAAAAAGGAACCCTTCTCCACTGTTGGTGGGAGTGTAGACTGGTACAACCACTGTGGAAATCAGTGTGGAGATTCTTCAAAAAACTAGTATTAGAGGTCCCATGTGATCCAGCTGTTCTCCTTCTAGATATTTTCCTTGAGAATTAAAAATATCATACCACAGCAATATATGTACACACATGTTTATATCAGCACAATTTATAATAGCTAAATCTTGGAAAGAAGCCAAATGCCCATCAACCAAGAAATGGATAAAAAAGATGTGGTATTTTTATACAGTGGAGTACTACTCAGCTATAAAGAAGGATAAACTCAAGGTTTTTAGAGGTACAACTTGAGATCATACTTATAACTGAAATAAATCAGACTTGCATGTGTAAACACTGTATTGTCTCCCTCGTATAAGAAACTGAAAGAGTAAATAAGATCTAAAACATACAATAGATATTGTGAAAGGGGAAGAAACAGCTCAAAAGGAAAGAACAACTGGGATGGGGGAAAGGAGAAAAGAAGGAAGAGCAAAGAAAAAAATACATACATACACTATATATATATGTATATAGGCATATATACACAAGATATCTAAGATAATTATACTATTAAGTTCTATTAGTTTATTAAAAAGAACAGCTTGTGCTTATATTGCTTAATTTTTCATGCCTATATCTTGTAATCTGAGCAACTACTCTGAAGATTACAATACACAATATATTAACCATTGTTCATCTCTTATTATAGTGCTTTTTGGTGTTGTGGGTATTGTCTTAGTACCGGGAATCAAACTCAGGACCTTGTGCTTGCCAGGAAGGCACTGTGCCACTGAGCTATATCCCCAGCCTAGGGTTTTGAAATCCTGTCTTATTGTTTTTATTTTTTTTCTCTTTAAAACAAACAAAGTAAAACTTTAAACTTCCTTTCTAACTTAGAAAATTTATGCTAATCACAAAAATGATACCATGGCTATACAGAAAAGACAACGGATTATGAATAGTCTATTAGTAGTGAAGAACTCTTTAAACTCAGTCCTTGCTAGGTCTCTTAATCCCTTACTTCTAGGGTAGCATAAAAGAATACTTACCACTAGGCTGCATAGTCAGCAGACTAAAATGGTCAAAGAATTAAGATGTTTGGGCTTTATCCTTTGATCCACCAATACTTTGCTCTGATCTCTGACAAGTCAATTTCTCTGTATGCTAATTTCTCCATCTGTAAAGCAGAGGAGGGGGGAGGGAGGGGATTATTATTAACCTATGCTGATACCCTTAATTGTTAAAAATTGTTAAGTATTAACAAGCTATATTATAAGAAAAATAGTACATTTCAATACACATTTTTTGTTATTAAAATATCTCAGAGTTGGGTAGTACTTTATAGCAAGCACCACAAGTATAACTTCAGCCTCTGTATTTATAGAAATATAGGTATTCAATACATTTGGTCTCATGCAAATACTGAATAGTTTCCACCTAACCAGGTTAAGCTAGAAAATCCAGAAAAATTAAAAAGCCATTAACATAGTATTGAAGCTCTAAACCCCAATTTGACTGTATTTGGAGATAGGGCTTTTAGGGAGGTAATTAATGTTACATGAAGTCATAAAGGTAGGGCCTTAATCTGATAGAAGAGACATCAGAGCTCTCATTTCCTCAGAGAAAAAGGCCACATAAAGACACACTGAGAAGGGGCCATCATATCAAGGAGAGAGCCCTCACCAGAAACCAACCCTGCTGGCACCCTGATCTCTCACGATATAAATGTTCTATAACAATGTTGTTGAATGGGTAGCCAGCCACTAGCCATACATGGCTACTCAGTACTTGAAACGTGGCTGGTGGAATAGCTGTACAATTGCATTTCTGACTGTCACTTTTTATTAAATGTAAATAGGCACATGTAACTATTGACTACTGTAGTGGACACTGCAAATTTAGAGAATGTAAAGATTCTGTTATTTTTGGAAATTCTTGAAAGAAAGATAGTAAGTGGCAAAAAAGTGACGAAGTTATGGAAGAACTCTCTTGAAATGTGATAAAATAACCATAACTGGCCACCCTTTGAAACAAGGAAAAACCAAAGTAATTCTTCATATATTGAGAGAATTGAGTTGTTAGTTATCACTTACATATTATAATTATTAACACTGTATAGTTATCATTTTTAAGTGTTTACCATGTGCCAGACAGTATGCTAAGTATTTCAATGACATAATCTTGTTGAACCTTCACCACATAGCATGGTATTATTACATCTTTTCACTAATGAGGAAATGATACTCAGAAAGGCTGAATAACTTGCTAAAAGGTTATGGTCAATAGAAAAGTCAAGATATGCATCTGAACTATACTCCTAACTATGCTAGCTACTCTCCTGTGTCTATGTGGTGCCCCACTCCTTAAAAGTCACAAAAAGTTTTACAAATGTTTCTAACATGAAATAGCTCAGCTTGGGGAGAACTGATTGAGTGAGTGTAGATAATCTATTCATTTTAATACAGTAAAAACTGAAGCTCTGGGCCAGTGATATAGCTCAGCAGCCCAGTGCCTGCCTGGCAAGCACGAAGTTCTGAGTTTGAGTCCTGGTACCCAAAACAAACTGAAGCTCTAATAGCTAAAGAACTTATTAGCTTGATCTGTACATTGAGTAAGACTAGGCATAATGTGGGATTCAAAAAGGTAAAGTTAGATTAAATGTAGGACTCTATAACATGTATTAAATATTCATAGAGCATGAAAAATAGAAAAGAAATAATGTAGTCTTGCAAGACACACAAATAGGGGGTAGGACAGAAAGGAGGAGGGAAGGAAGGATGTTTCCTCCTGAAATGGGAACTGTAAAACCAAAAAAAAATGCATCAAATGTATTTCTGAATTCTAAGAAGAGACAGAACTCTTTCAGTACTAGACAATCCACAATCCTATTCCAATATGCACAGAGGTCAATATGGAAAAGCTGGAAACAGAACACCTGCTAACAGAAAACAAGCTATAGGGAGGCCAGAGATAGACAGGGGACTGGTCTTGTATATGCCACTGATAAGCCACTCTTTCATTAGCAAGTATGTCTAGTGTCTCTCAGCCGATCCTCTGTCTCCAGCTCTCTTTCATTTACTTTTACTTCATTTGGGTATAAATGTGATGAGATGTAATATTCCTCTGGGATAATCTGCCAGAAGACGGGGGAGGGGAAGCAAACTAGGCAATCCCTTTCTCAAACAGAGCAATAAATCCTGTCTCTTCCACATAGCAGATGTAAACAAAGAAGATAAAGCAGATTTCCCCTTGGCAGTTGTCCTCCCCCTACTTGCTTTGTAGCAATTACACATCTCTGTGTGTGCATACAGAGAAAAGAATCTCAGAGAAATCAATATTTCCTTTAGCAAGCAAGGAAGCTAGCAATGAATGGCTAATGAAAATGCAGAGGCCAAAATGCCCTCTCTCTTACAGGCAGTTCAAAATAGATGTTTACCCTTTCTAGACGTTTACATAGATCAGATCTAGAGTACAGGAGAAGCTGATGATTTTTAGAATGTTTCTGGTTCATGTTCCTTAAACACAGAAAGTTAGTGGTTCCAACAGTGCCCTATCACGCTTCTAAGCTTTCTGATATTATGAAATAAGTAATGTTAGATCATCATTGTTATCATTATTGTCATTTTAGCTAGTATTTGGGGTCTTTCTTTCATTTTTAGACAGGTTCTCATTATGCTGCTGAGGCTGGCCTTGAACTTGCAATATTCCTGCCTCAGTCTCCTGAGTAACTGGGATTACAAGTTAGTATCACTGCACCTGGCCAAGTTAGTATTTGGAATAAAGGAGAAGACAGTCCTAGATGCTCTACTCTTTGCCAGTAAAAACACATTGGAGGTAGTTTTATTTATTTATTTTTTTTTGGTTTTTCTCTGGTACCGGGAACCGAACTCACGACCTTGCGCATGCCAGGCAGGCGCTTTTGCCGCTGAGCTAAATCCCCAGCCCCCTGGAGGTAGTTTTATGTTCAAACCTAGGCCCTATACTGAATGAGACACAGCATAAAACCTTAACAAAAGCAACAAGAAAAATAAGGGATTAAAAAACTAAGGAGATTTAATCATGAGAAGAGACGACTCAGGAAACACAAGAGTTGTTTACAATTATCTGGAAGGCATTTACACAGGAGTGATGAGATATCCTCTACTTGATCAAGGGACAGACACAGGACTAGATAGATACATTCCAGTGTGTCATTTACAAAAACTTTCTGGCAGTCAAAAGTACACAAAAGTGGTAAGTTCTCTGCAAAGGAAAAGTAAGGACTGGTCAGCATTGAAAATATGGAAACAGAGGTAAAATAACCTCTTGGTAAAGATATTGAAGCATTAGGAGGAAGAGGGAGGCTGGACTGGGTAACCTCTGAAGTCTTGCAAATCTGAGATTGCAAAGCTGAGCCTGGGTTTCATTCCTACAAACTCTATACAACTTCAGGTTCTGCAGTAGGGATTATTTGTATACATACACAGATGGTCTGTGATTTACAATGATTCAATTTAAGATTTTTCAACTGTACAATGGTACAGAAGGTACCCATACAACCATTGTTTTTTACTTTCAGATTCAATAAATTACACGATATATTCAACACTTATAAAGTAGGCTTTTTATTAGGTGATTTTGTCTAACTGTAGGCTAATATATGTATTCTAAGCACACTTAAGCTAGACTAGGTTACACTATGACATTTGATAGGTTAGATACACTTAAATGCATTTTCAACTTGAGAAATTTTCAACTTATATTGGTTCACTGAGATGTAACCCCATCATAAATCAAGAAGTGCCTCTGTTTGCGAGTGTATGTGCATATGTATATATACACATATACAATACCAACTTTCTTTCTGGAGGGTGAGAGAAGTATGATATGAGGGGAGAAAAGTGGCAGCAATACTACCCATGGCAGGAGCAGTGGCGGCAGCAGCAAGAGCAGCATCTTTTCTGCTTCTTCACCTATCACTTGTTGGCACTGTGGTGGGTACTTACATACCTTGTCTCAATTTCCTTTTAAGTTTTATCATATTGTAAGTTTATGGTGCAGTAGCAGCAGGGTCTACCTCAGTTATTTCCTCCATATTTGCCACAACATAATTTAGCAGGTAGTACCTTTGAAATAATTAACAATATATGCCTGTTTTATACAATATATTCCTAAAAACTTAAGTGTAAATAGAATTTTTATAAAAATGAAGTATATTCTGAGTATACTAAGATGGTTCGTAAGTTAAAAGGAATCATTATAAAAATAAGTTCAGTGCTTGCTGCAAAGTAATCTATTCTACAAAGTTGGATTTTATACATTGTATTTTCTCTTACATTATTTTGTCCTCCACTCACGTCAACCAGGTTGAAGTCACACTGGAGTCCCTTCCTTTTTATTTGGTAATCAGTTTGTTGGTAAACATAAAGCACTAAGTTTGAAGGAATGTTAAAAGTCTGATTAATGCATAGCTGCCTAGCATCTAAGAGGCCCTGGGTTGGATCTCCAATGCCTCCAAAAAAGTTTAATTAAAGTTAAGAAATTTAGTTTAATGCCTCCTTCTTCCTGTCTATAACCCTAACAATTTTAGCCAATGCTTGAATTTTCCTTATAATATCCCTAAACTGTCTTTGCTTACATTTCTAGTGATAAAGATCCCATATCTTTCTAGGAAGTTCCTTCCATTTCTGGTAGTAGATCTTGGACTTTGGGGAATGGCTCTCGATTTTTTTCTATCTTGATAAGCCTAAGCCTAACATAACCTAGTACATTTCCATTAGTAACAGTAACATCATATACTTTACAACCAAACTTTTTTTGCTTTTTTGAGGCAGGTTTCACTATGCAGTTCGGGCTGGCCTTGAACTCACTTTGCAGCCCAGGCAGGCCTCGAACTCACAGTGACCCTCCTGCATTCAGTCCTGAATGCTGGGATTACAGGCGTGCACCAGCCTACAACCAAACTTTTAATAGAGGTTCTTTCTAGAGAGCAAGAACTATAGTTTAAGTACAAAATGTCCCCCAAAAGTCTCCTTGTGTTCTGAGATAGGGCTTCTGAAAGGTGGTTGGATTATGAGGGTACTACACTCATCAGTAGATCCATCCATTAATGAGTTCAGTAGTTGAATGTACTGTTAGCAGGTAGGGCCTAGTTAGAGGTGGACTGCTGGTGGCATGACCTGGAAGGATGTGTTCTTGTCCCTGCCTCCTCTTCTTGCTCTCTGCTCCCTGGTCATAATGTGACTTTGTACTATAACACATTTGCTACACAACATGTTCTGGGAAAGCAGGATGGAATAATCAGCTTTGCCTGGACAGCCAGGGAAAGCTTAGCAGAGATGAAGGTAAACTACAATTGTGAGAAGACAAAGAGGCATTTTACCAGAATATAGTATAAAGGTACTAAGACATGGAAACTGATATAATGTATTTGAACAAGAGTTAACCATGCATTACAGATGGAAAGGGATATAGTACTGTATGGAAATGAATGACAGGAATTGAGAGGTCAAAATAGAAAAGTAGGCAGGGGCAAATTCATGAAAAACCTTGTTTGCCTTAGAGAAAATGATAGACTGTTATATATAATGGAGTTTGGTAACAGCCCAAAGATTATGTTAGGCATTCAATGTCAAGATCTGATTTACTGATATTTTACATTCATAAGGGTATATTTTAATATTTTTTCATAAACTTTTGTATATGTTTTTTCCAATGCCCATGTATTTTGCATAATTACATGTGTACTAAATTCTGCTATTCATCATAAATTTGTGATATAATGACAATGGTAAGATTTAGAGGCAAAAAGATTTGGGACTAAGCTTTTTTTTAAAAGATATATTTTGATTCCTCTTCCCCCCCCCCAATCTCCTCTCTCCCTTCAACCCCTCTTCTCCTCTCTATTTACAAAGTTTTGTTTCCATTTTAGCCTGGGACTAAACTTTGTAACTCAAGTTACAAGATTTTGAAAGTCTCTTGACTTGTCATCATTTCCATAAAATGGGATAACAATAGCACCTACTTCATGAGATTACTGTGAAGACTACAGAGATAATTATGTAAAGAATATTTCATAAACTATAAAGAACTGTAGAAATGACACACAGGATTTGTTAAAACTGCAGGATAAGTTGGTTTTTTTTTTTTGTTTGTTTGTTTGTTTTTCCAGTACCAGGAATCGAACTCACAACTTCGCACTTGCCAGGCAGGCACTGTGCCGCTGAGCTAAATCCCCAGCCCCTGCAGGATAAGTTGGAAAAAAGGATGAGTTTCTTTTTTTTTTACTCAGTTTGGATTTTTGTAACTCATAGAGAGAATAACTATTTCTACTATGTAAAAAGTACACATTTCTGACCTTTTCAAGGAACTTGTTTTTGCATACTACCACCAGCTACACCAAATAAGTAATTGTTCTTCCTTAGCAGGATGGAGAAATCTAGAAGGAAAAGACAGAAAAAATAGAAATGTGAGCAATTATAAATCAAAAGAGCTATGTAGTGAAATTAAGTTTTTATCAGAGAAAATCATTTGGTTGCACACCCAAACAAAACTTTCCAAGAGTGGCAAGTTGGTTAGTTTCTCTTTTCTGAGATTCTTCCCTCAGCTTTGTGAGTTCTGAACCCTGATTCTGTTAAAAATAGAAGAGACTTTTGAAGATGGATGAGTCATTAAACAAGAAAGGATAAACTAGAATGGTAATTTATTAATTTACTATGAAAAATAAACTGCCACGTAATCTAAAATATTCAATGGTACATGACCAAGGCCACTGATTTTTTTTTTTTTTTTTTTTTGTACCTGGAATTTTGGTACCAGGAAAAAAGTATTTCCAATTCAGGGCCTTGCGCTTGCCAGACAGGCCCTGTGCAGCTCACTTACATCACTGGCCCAGGGCCACTGATCTTTAAAGATGCATTTATCCAGAAATCCAAATAAGACCTGGAAGAGTTCCTGAGCAGTGTGGAGCACAGCAAGAGGGTTACTTGTCTAATTCAGAGACTGATAAACTTTCCTATAAAATGCTAGATAGTAAATATTTTCAGCCAGATGGGCCATGTAGTCTCTGTTGCAGCTCCTCAACTCTTCTGTTGTAGTGTGAAAGTAGCCACAGCTGGTACTGAAATGAATAGGTAGTCTGTGTTGCAACAAAGCCAGGCAATAGCCCTTATGAATACTGATGCAAAAATTCTCAACAAAATATTAGCAAGACAAATTCAGCAGCATAGTACAAGGACTACTATATGTAAGTATTAAAATATGCAAGTATTAAAATATTTCTGGAATGCAAGGATAGGTAAATATTTTCTACATGTGAAAATAAATCAATGCACTATAGAAACAGAATGAAGTTTTAAAAAAATCACATGATAATCTTAACTGCATTTGACAAAATTTAACATACTCTTCAGTAGCCATGACCATTGGTTCCAGAACCTCTACTCCCCATGGACACCAAATCCATGGATTCTCAAGTCCCTTATGTAAAATGACATATATTTGCATATAATTTATGCAATCCTCCCATATATTGTACTTTAAATCATCTCTAGATATTTATAATACCTACAATGTAAAGATCATACAGTTATTGTACTAAATTGTTTAGAGAATAATGACAAGGAAAAAAAGTTGGTTCAAGATCAATACAGATGTGATCTCTAAAAAAAGTATTTCCAACCTACAACTGGCTGAATGCCCAGATACAGAGCCTTCAGATATGACCCAGGCAGATATGGAGGACTGACTGTACTAAAGTTCTAGTCAGAGCAATTCGACAAGAAATTAGAGTCATTCAGATGTAAAAAGAAGTAAAATGATCTTTCTTTGCAGATGATATAATTGCATGTCAAAGACTCTAGTCCACAAAAGAAGCTATTAGAGCTAACTAATAAATTCAGCGAAGTTGTAGGATACGAAGTTAATACACAAAACCCAGCTGTATTTCCTTTTTTTTTCAGTTGTATTTCTATACAGTAGTGATGGGCAATCTGAAAAGAAATTAACAAAATAATTTCATTTAAAATAGTATAAAAACAGTAGTAATATACAGAAATAAATTTAACCAAGGAAGTGAAAGATTTGTCTGCTATATATATATATATATACACACACACACACACACACACACAATGAAATATTACTTAGCACTAAAAAGGAAAGAAATTCTGATAAATGGATGAAATTGAAAACATTATGAAAAGTAAATTAAGAAAGGAAAAATGTTCTATGATTTCACTTATACCAGGTATCCTGGATAGATATTTACAAAGGCAAAAAGTAGAATAAAGGTGACCAAGGAGACAGGTACAAAGTTCCTATTCATGATGATGGAACTTTTCTGGAGATGAGTAAAGTTAAAGGATCTACAGAGCTGTAAATATATATAAATGCCTTAAAATAGTTAAAATGATAAATTTTAAGTTATTTATATTTAACACACTTAAGGAGAGAACAGGAACACAATAAAAACTTCGTAGGGACTCATAAGAATTTCATAAGAAATTCAGTCCTTAAATAATATCTCCTTTCCTGGATAGCCCTAGATGTAACCATCTATGAATTTATTTTATGCATGTGAATACCCAATTTTTCCAGCATCACTTATTGAAAAGATTGTCCTTTCTATGTGTGTTCTTAGCATCTTTGTAAAATATGTTAGCTATACATGCATGGATTTACTTCTAGATTTTCAATTTTGTTTCATTAGTCTGAGTATCTGTTTTTATGCTAATACCACGCTGTTTTGATTACTACAGCTTTGTAGTATTGTTTGAAGACAGGTAGTGTGATGATTCCTGTTATTTTTGCTCAACACTGCTTTGGTAGTTGTGTTTTTTGTTTTGTTTTTATTTGATTTCAAGCAAATTTTAGGATTGTTTTTTGTCTAGAAGAATGTATAGGTATTTTGACAGGAATTTGAATCTGTAGATTGCTTTGAATAGAATGGACATTTAAACCATACTGTTCTTCTACTCTGTAAATATGGGATATCTTTCCTTTTTTGTGTGTCTTGTTTAATTTCTTTCACCAGTGTTTTATAGTTTTCATTGCAGGTATCTTTCACCTCTTTGGTTAATATTTAGGTTTTTGTAATCCTCCAAATTTAGCTTTTGGAATACAATAAGCCTTCCTTGACTTCCTCCATCCTTTAACCCAGCAACTCATTGCTTAGTTAAAATCTCCTTTAATTCTCTTAATTTCTACTGTTCCACTTTTGGACTGTCCATAAGAACAGGATATAATAAAACTTTTCTCTTCAAATTCTTGTTCCTTGAATTTTTCTAGCTAAAGTATATGAACTTCATGCAAAAATTTTAAAAACAGCAATCTTTGAGAAAAATGGGTTAATTCTGTCTCACTTTAAGGCTGGGGTTCACTAGAGGAGGATGTGTGACAGAATTTATTTTAGAGAATACTTTTGTACAGTAACACTAATCCAGAGAACTGCAAAATTTATTTCAGCAAAATCATTGATAGGTGTCAAACCTGTGCAATTCTCTTGAATGCAGTGATTTATAACCCATTTTTCATTCTGTCACAAGACTACAAAACACTTTCATTGACGAGGACAGGCTCACCAAAGGCACTAATTTTCAGCATGGGGTAAGAGGTACAATTTGATGGGGCAGGAGGCTCCACTGAGTTAATGTGTTTCAAGCTCTCCAAGTTATTTGTGTAATTGGAAAATTACCTGTCCTGGGTCATAAACTTTGCCTACTATTCTTCCTTGACCCAGGGTCTAGATCAGTGTCATCCAACAGAAATAAACTGCAAGCCATCTAACTTTAAGTTTTACAGTACTTACATTTTAGAAAGTGAAATAATTTTAATAATTTTTTTTTTGTTTTTTTTTTCCGGTACCAGGAATTGAACTCACAACCTTGCACTTGCCAGGCAGGTGCCACTGAGCTAAACCCCCAACCCCTTAATAATTTATTCAACCCAATATTTCAAAATATTATTTCAAGTAATCATTACAGAAATAATAAAAATGTATTCCATTTATAGCAAGCCTTTAAAATCTAGATGTATTTAGATATACACTTTAATTCTGATGCAAAGATATACTTAATCTATATTTCAATTTCATAAATTTACAGTTAAAAAGGTTCAATTTAAATTCAATTTAAGACTAAATTTAATATTCTTCCATGTCTATGTATTTGTCTTCACTACGGGCACCTTCTCTTTGCTATTTCTTCAGTACTAGATTCCAATATTCAAGTTGTTCCAAATATAAAATTTTTCTAAAACTTTAACTGAGGGTAAGATTTTAATTTTAAATTTAACTAAATTAAATTTAAAATACAGTAGTTCCAATCATAATAACACAGCTACTGTACAACAGTTCTAAAAGAAGCAAATAATAAAATTAAACATTAAATTCTTACCATGTGCCAAGAACTGTTTTAAGTATTATTCATGCATTAAGTTTTTAAATTATCACAACTATTCTATTAGGTGAGTACTATTTTGTTGTCTTCATTTTAATGATGGGGAAACCAGTGCAGAAAGGGGTCTAATAATTTACACAGTTAATAAATGCTAGAAGTGGGATTCAAAGCAATGGCTTTTGGAAAAATATCTTACCTCTCTGAAACTTAGGGTTTTTCAAGGAGAATTGTACTACTTAGTATTGTAGTAAATGTAATCTTTTGCCTGTGTTTGGGTTAGAGGTTCTCAGTATTGCCCACATTATGTCCCTATCTTGATTATATACAATGTAAGTTATATATAACTTTTAAGCACTCTCTTGCTTAAAATTTCCCAAAGGTTTCTCATGGCACTTAAAAGTAAATCCAAGTATAGGATGTTCTTGTGGCCTACACAGTCCTACAACATCTGACCCCTTGCTACCTCTTCCACCCCATCTCCTGCAGTTCTCACGATGAACTTGGCTTCAGTTTCAGGAATCTTCTCATCCCTGTTGCAGGCTAACATCCTCAGGGCTATTAAATTACCTATAATGTTCCACCCCAACATTCATACTGCTCACTCACAGGTCTGTTTAAATGTCATCCATTCAAAGAACTTTTCCCTGACTGCTTAATCTAAAGTAGTCACCAAAACCTTCTCTATCACACTACTATACTTTTAAAATTATACACACAGCAGTTACCACAATTTAATATTTTTCCATGTCTGTTTATTTGTCTTTCCCACTGGTACTCTCTCTTTGCTATTTCTTTAATACTAGATCCCAATACCTGGAACAATGTCCATTACAGAGGAAACAATAAGTATTTATACTGAAATGAATGTATGCTAGTCACTAAGAAGAAAAAGCACTAAATTTATAAATGATAGGACCAGAACACAGTGACTACATTTGAATTTTAAAAACATTTTACTTAGAAGGCTGGTAATTAGAACCCAAAAGTTGATTTTTGAGAGAAAAACAGTTAAGGAAAACCTCTTAAACAAAATAAGCTCCGG